AGTAGACGTCGGTCTAGGGCTGTAATTAAACCTGTGGAGAATCCGACTTTATCCTGGTCGATCTGCAAGCATTAAAAATTGCTCGCCATATAGTTCACTAATGCTTCGAAACTTGTCTTTTGCTGGCACTCGCTAGTTAGTGAATTATGTGAAACCAGACTGCCAGTTCAAGACATCGGATTGACCTGCGCTCTTACGATATTAGCCCGGTTCAATGGATCTCCCCACAGCACGCAACAAACGGGGGATAACGATTAAGGGATTAGTAGGTGAGATTGACGTTAGGCAAAAATAGTGACGACAATTCTAGTCGACTATTCAGAGCACAATATCTATCCACCACATACTGGATGAAGGATCTACTGGTCTATGTGTGTGTGCGCACCAGAAAGCTTAGCAACTATCAAAGGCTAGTCACATGATGCGAACAGTCTGGAGAGATTCCAGTTTACCCACAACAAAGTGATAAGAAATGTCTAAGCGCCAGTAGTCAATGAAGTGTAAAATTATAAGCCCCTCATTATTGGTTTAGCTTTTCAAGCTTAATCTACGGGATGTAAAGTGGGATGAGTCTAAGGAGAATACTCAGCTACCCAAGTAAACCAAAGTGGTTGACGTTAACCTGGACAATGCGGGTTACACTATTCGTGCAAGTGAGCTTGGTGCAATGAATTTAAAAACTAAACAATGCTGAGCATATTCTCAACTTCCTGATGAAAAAAGGACCAGGCTAAGTTGATCTAGGGACTTTATAAAACGGTACAATTTTTCATTTAAAGTAGAAATTATGTAGGTCGCCTTGGGATTCCATGCAGAGGAACTATATGAATATATGCGAGATTATACTACATCGTCAAGCTTGGAAATGGAACTAAATTTTATTCTCCAATTTGGCCATGGCAGCAATATAACTTTACATAATTTTATGAAAGAATAAACATGTATATGGAGGTTGTGTCCAATTTTTCGAAAGCTCTATTTTCGGAGAATTCTCAATATTCCGCGTAGAATTGTTTTATTAATAAACGAGTGAAGTACGAATGTTTTGGTCGATGGCTGGGAAAGCGAAGTCGATGTCTGGAGATTGCGCCTGCAAACAATAAATTGAATCATCTAATTTCATTTAAGAACCGGCATACTAACGATCATTTTGTTTTGTTTTGTTAAACGAAGGAATAAATTGTACCTGCCTGAAGGCACATTGCTCCATGCAGAGTAGAGCATGGTACTGAAGGTTTGGTCATGAGATAACATAAATAGTAATAGGAGGGTCATATCAACGTGAAAATTTCGTTCAACCGAGAGACTCAGACAGCCAGTGGGAGACGAGGGTAACGGATTCGATTACTGGACACGATCTGGCCGACATTCGCATAAGTAACTCACCATTTTTTAACTGAGTCGAAAGCGGAACCTCATTGGCTCAGAAGTGTTGTTAGTTAAATTCCATGGTATAGTGTTTCAAAAGTCTGTTTCTTACAACTGTGTTTTGGTTTACACCATACAAACCGATCGGTCACGGAACGACGTAGATGACAATACGGCCGGCAGCCAGTATAACACAAGGACATTTCCTGCGATAGAATTTGAAACTAGCTTTGTGGTGGTGTGTTACTTGAACTAGGCTGATCCAGCTACATTGCTAACACAGATCATATCTATCAAGACCGTCATTTGACTATTCATTGTCTGCTGGAACGTAACTGGACATTATCACAGCGTGGTTCGTTTGCTTACTTGTATCATTTGTAAGCTCCGGTCAACAGCTTACCATGTTGAATCACTGTTCACGTTATTTGCCTCAGGATAATATCACTCATTATAAGCGGAAGTTTTCCAAGTAATTATCGCATCAGTTTCAACCTAAGCGATTGCTTTCATCACGGAACGTGGTATTTTCATAGCACGCAGTCTATCCAAAATTAGACATTGTTAAATTGTAAGCATACCCCGGAACTTTAGAAAACCAGTTGTACCTAATTCATTACAAACAAGGTTCTTCTTGACGGACAATATAAAAACTGCGCTTTCGTGTAAAACGCAGATAACCTACGGAAATTAAGCCAGCAGTTTGTTCTCAATCTCCATGAAGAATAAGACTGCCCTTCCTTTCAGTTGTAGCTTGTAACGGGACACAGTTTCCCTGACTTATTCAATGTCCTAAATAGTCGCCCAACGTTTTGTCAGCTGCGAAGCAGACACCAGACTCATAGTGAACGAGTACAACCTAACCAAATCGAGAAGCTGTGTCATACCCATCACATCCCAATATTTAATTACTGCGTGTGATTAACCACATTTCCGCATCTTTTGCCTTAGTACCCTTTGGTCCTATCAGCTCACGATATTTTTATAATTCATTGTAAGGCTTACTCACCCGTACTACGTGTCGAACGATTACCATAGGAGAGTTGTCACCGGATCAACCACTTTTCTTGACCTACTTTTCCCTTATTCATTCGCTCTACGGTGTATTGAAAGTTTGTTACGTGTGTTTGAAGTAGCGTAGCCCACAAGTGCTGGTTCCTTCTTTGCGGGCATGCGGTAACGCAAATCGTGGCGCCAATCGTATTGATTCACGGAGTTGATGAGACCAGTGACAAGTTATAGGCCCTAACCATCAACCAATCCGCATTCCTCAAGGAGTAGGACACGTAATAGCAAGCACAATTCAGTAAAAGCGTGCTGTTCTCCGCCCCATTAGAAATATCTGTGAATAATATCCTAGTAAAACGATAACTAGCGGAAACTAATAGCTTAGTACTTACATTATCATCTATTTGTATCTGCAACAGACTGGGTTATGTAAGCACCGGTTAAAGCTATACAGGATTCATATGGATGCAGTTTTCCTGCGTTAAACTCTTCAGATATATACTTAAAAGACCAATTATAGAGGCTGAGTTAGCGATATTTTGGTAAGTGTAGAAACTACTAGTATTTTGCCCTCAGTTCTCGGGCAAAATATCGTTGTGTGTGCGGGCCAGTAAGATCCTGTTCATAGCTGAGAAACGTTTGATTATTTGCCCTGCCAAGTGTGATGTAGTAGGCCACTTCTCGGAAAAGTTAAAAAAAAACATTAAAATCTGGTCGAAGTAAGAGGAGATTAGATGTAACATATGTAATTCACAATCAGCCCCTAGCGGCTTACCTAACTTTACTAACAAGTTAGGCTGTCTGCCTCACACTTAACTAAACTTTACAAAAAGTCAGCTACCGCATGCGCTTCCGTTGTTCAGTTCACACCAAAAAAGCTTACATACTTGTATCTAAACATATTAGACTAATCCTTAAATTACATTCATTTTCCCCTACCTTCTCGCTAAGTAAGAACGAATATCTTGTATAATCAATTATCTCCTCTTTAGGCTGGATATTCCGTACCCATTGAGAATATGTTGGGTAGAATCCGTAAAAACAATGAAATGATTCTGATCAAACCGTTCTGCTTCCACCGACATCGGTAAAAATAATTATGTAGCTAGTACCTACGAAACTTACAAAGCAGATCCAATTTTCAGCAAACAGTTCGACTGTCTTGTCTAGGTGACTCTACCCCGACTCAGACTTAGAGATAGAGTGAGGCGACTTCCATGCGCAGCAAGTTTGTACGTCTCCCCTCCTATGATTGTTGATGACGAAATCCCACCTCGATGAGATAGCGCAACATTTCTCGAAGTTCTCTTATCTCACAATTTAGCTTGGTCCACACATTTTCTTGAAACATTTAAAACAGTTAAAGGGATCACATTTTACTCCATTAGACTCAAAGTGATTTTCGTTCTCCGTCCTTTATTGCCAAGATTTGTAAGTGCATGTATCCTCCCTTAGTGGTTATACTGTTCTCCTGTTATTTCCTCCGACTGCTTCGACTAGATTGTGTCCTTCTTGTCGGTTCAATACAATTTATTTCTCCCTGCTCTGCATTGAGGAAAGAACCACTCATGGATTTTGTCGTTCACAACTATTTTTTGTAAGTATCCACTATTCGTCTAGGATTTAAATGATTCCTCTTACTCTTTACATGCCCTTCTAGCCAGCAGTTTTTATAATTCTCATATATACTCCTTACTTATACGGTCAAAATTTAAGTATTATATTTTCGTACCTTGTCGTATTGAAACTTCATGTTGCTCTAGTTATTACGCTTATCAATCGATCGCGTAATGAAAAACAGTTTACGTGGCTGCATGCTTGATTGAAGTTACGACTTTTGGTTTAATGATGTCACATGTATTTTCACACTGATTGCGTGCCCCATGCTCTTCCGCAATGTGAGTGGCAAAATGCTGAAAATGCATTCAGCTGAGTGGATATAGCCTATTTTGACTTCACTTGACATTCTATCCTGTTTCAAATACCAAAAAATACCACAACGTTTACTGGTAGCAACTTTTAATGAATACAGTTATAGGCTGTTATTAATTTTGAACGCGCAGGTAACAATAGTAACAATTTCAACCTACTTTTACCTGTAATCTGTTTTCGAGATAACCCATGAGACACAACACTTTGGACGATTGTACTAAAAATCCAAACTTTGTAACACCGACCATAGAGCTGCTGAATATAGAAGACACCTCTGGTTATTCTCATTTACGTTCCCTTTGTACTGATAATCTTTCCATAACGTTTCATAAGTAATGCGGTACTAAACAATGTCGTTGTAGTGTAAGCCGGTGTAGTGTTTATTAATAGTGACACCTGACTTGGATAACTGCACCAGCTGAAGGTTACAGTTTTCGAATGGTCTATGTTTAGCATAATACATTTAAAATGCTGATAGTCCCATTTGCTGAATGTGCGCAAAAGCGCAACTACCGCTACATAACATCTAGCAACTTCCGTAGATGCATTTCCAGACATCTTGCTTTGTCAGGCAAACAGTCATCTGAAACTATGTCTTTAGGGACATACTATTGATATAGTTAGGTAAGTAACGGTAGCAAATCTGCCGTACGGGACGGACATAGGTTGGACACAAGCGCTGTTGTACTTACCCTTGCGGCCATCGAAGTTTGAGGCTTCTCCAATAAATCCCATACACGACGTTGTATGTTAGCGCACCGCCCAACACCAAATTGTTCTTCACGGACCTGTTGCAAAGAAATTTCATAGGTCTTCTTTATTTCATCATCCATTTGCTCCTTTCTGCGATAATATCGCTGCATACAACAGGCGTCCAAAGAATGCTCGCTGATTCCCCAATAATCCAAATCATCCTTCAGGGCAATAACACATACGTCGTCCAAAATGTGAAGGTGGCCCGTTCGGTAAAGACCAAGAATCGCTCCAAATGATCGAGCGGATCTGTCAAAGTAATACTCATTCTTATCGGCGACATAATCGTCGCACAGATGAATCATCTCAGCTGGACAGTTAGACAAATACAAGCGTCCTAATCGGGATTTTGGAAGCACCCCAAGCGTACTCCACATGACTTCATGATTTTCGCCTCCGACATTCAAGCGAGCACGTTTTGAGCTGATGCGCCGTTGTAGCATGAATTCACCGAGTAACAACTGTTCTGTGCTCGGCGTCTCTTGTTTCCCATTATTCACCGCTTGATCTTTGCTTCCGGGATTCTGCACGACGTGATGGCTTCCATTGCGTTCCTCAATGTGATGGGACGCGAACCATTTGGTAGCTTTTTGTCTCACTGACTTCGCCCTACTCCGCTTGGGAATCGATCCAATTTTTACACCGGAAGTGCGTAAACCTGATTTGAGTTCAGAGTTGCATGTCAGTGGTGAATCCAATGGAATTTCCTCCGCGCTGCATGTGCGCATTTCACTAGACCGTCAGTTTGCTGTATTTCACCACCATTGGCAATTAGGATGGTTAGGTGGACAGTCCCTCTGGGCAGATGTTCCATGCGTATGGCAATCACGTGTCAATTCCAACACAGGCAATTTATACCTTGTAGTTAGACCAATCAGCGGTTGTATTAGAGACAAAAGTACTGACTGCTTGCTTTCCGACCGGGTTTCTTGGCTCTAATCATGTGACCTTGTATTATAGAAAGCTGACTCCCCCTTTGCTAAAACAAAAGCTATCGTCTGTCCTTCTTGTGGTTGCCAAACTATGCCCATGGGAATTGAATGAACCAAAGGGGTGTGTGTAGATCGTAAGAACCATAATCCCACTGGTGGCCGTTTCAGGAATATATTGGTGCTTTGGAGCAGTGGCGCTCCAGCACAGTAGAGTGCTTCGCTTGCAACTTCACTTTGGGAAATGAGGATAGTACACGTGGAACGCGATTCACTATAACGGGAGCATTCCTTGACCTCGGGAATATATTCAAGTTGATTAGGCGGGGAAAAGATAAGAAGTCAACTTTACGTAGAAATAAAACAACATTGAGCTTTCTAGTCTTTTCCAATAAGGCGTTTAAAGTAGATTCCAAAGTCGACGCCAAACTGGTCTTCACAAACGTAACGGAAATTTTGTCCCTTAGAATTTTTCTTCCTTGCACACAGTAAGATTAAACGTAATGGAAAATACGAAACAGCTTTGCGTTGTATGTGGGTGCTAACTAAATTGCTCATACGAACTTTCTAATAAGTCCTAAACAGAAGGGATTTATTGGTTTCCCGTTCTCAAGATGGGAGCCCATGGCGTCAGCGTTTGCTAAAGATTCAGACAAGAGCGGACGATTATGATATCCAGACTACGATATTCTTCTGCTTACTTGGGTATATCACAATATCACTAAACTGAGATGACGAAGGCTTCCCCACTTTGAACTCCACATATATTTATGTGCTAACTATCAATGGCAGTTACTATAAGAGATAACCTTATAGGTCCATTAAAACTGCACGCGCTCATACTACTACACTAGCTTAAATTGAGTATTCGTGAGTAGGGAGAATATGGTCGTAAATGAAACTTACAGCATTAAAACATTTGATATCTGTTTGCTTTTCATTTTGATGTGCTCCTTATGTTATGCACCGCTGTGCCAAGCAATTCCCGTCAAGACCGCCGAGGCTAAAATGGGTGAACGTCCCAACTGAAATCTCTTATGTCCCGGGGTTCGTGGCCTGCCATCTCTACCTGATGAGATCACACTAGACGAAAACACATAATGCAGTGTAGTGTTTACAGTGAGTAACACACAGTATTCATCTACCCTGCTATCAGCATAACAAATTTCCCAGGGCGCCTTATTTTCTGCCCTCACTTCTCTATGTACATGGCGATTCACTTTAACATTGTAGTATTTTCTGGCGCGTAATACCCTATTTCCTTCTACATTATCCGCTACAGTCCCACTGGGTGAATTACCAAGGTTCACTTCAATGCGAATAACGATCAGCATCATCCACACAACGTCTACTTCAAGTCGATATATGCTATCTCCATCTGATGAGATGAAATAACATCGAAACGCATCATGTGAGTGCAGTTCACTTAAAATGCGACAGATTTTTTCTTCTTCACATTTTAATGTAATTCAAGCGACGAATTAGCCTGAAATCCACCGCTAGGTTGCATGGCCGCCCAGCTGATCGTCATGACAACAGCTTGAACTCTGGATGTATGGAGGCACACTTGTAGTTTGATTACACACTGCACGTTTAGCCTAGATTGTTTCATTTAGACGTGATTATGCTCCGTATATTGTTCAGCCAGTTTATCAACAGGAACTGTGAACCGGCCTTGCGATATGCGGGTATCCTCGATCGATTTTCGGTAGTGGATGCGTCAAATCGATACGAATACGTGACAGTAGTAACAGCCCAGAGAATCATGTTCCGGACGGTGAGGAGGTGCGTGTTAATTAAGGGGTAGAATTAATTTTTCGTGTGCGGAGCCAGCTTAAACGGATCAAACTGTTAGCGTTTCGGTAGACGTCATCAACACCATCTAACTTATCGGATATTGGCAGACGCAACTCTAACCATGCTACCCACCGTTTGCAAAGTTCAAAGAGAGTGCATCTATTAGAATAAACAACCAAGTCAGCAATGCACCGAAACTTGCGCGAGATGTCCCCTTTTGTGTGCTTGTTGCACGGTTTTTGACCACTGACGTTCACTAGCAACCCTGCAAATACACTTTACAGTTGCAGCGTTTCAACTAAAAGTTCCAAATATAGCAGTTAACCATTCTGATAAAGTGGATAGGATGGTACTTCTTACAATAAAACGTTCTTCCAATCTAAGGAGTTTAAGCAAAAAGGCGCTTTTAAGCAGTCATGTCAAGTGAATTTTCGGACGACTTTCTGACCAGCAAAAGGACTAAGTAGTTGTTATACCTTTGGTTTACTTTATCACTGAGTGGCCGTCATGCCACTGCACTAAGTCAAGATTTCTCCATTTAGCTGAAAGGTGGGATGTGCACCGATGTATAAGTGGCATGCGTTGTAAGATAACTTGATGGATTTGAAGTCCAAGAGAGGTATAAACTCAGCAATCTACTTAAGCATTTGACTGTTGTCTTAAGTACTGCAACAGTTCATAAATACCAGTGTTTTATGATTTTTGGACACAGTGCCTAAACGAATGGCTCCTGTGTTTCAATTTCGAACAGGCAACAGATCAGATTGGGCGTCCTACGTTTGATTGTCTAAGTTATTTACATCGTACTCGCGCTAGATTATGACCAACTAAGGTTAAGCTCTTCAAAGTACACGACACTCTGGCTTTGGATAATATGAACGGCCACCCCAAGGTTCAAGACTGTAAAGTAAGGAACTCGGAACTACGAAGGGCGGGCACCAATGGTTGAATAGATGGCAAACGCCAATTTTGCGCCAGTGGCAGAAAGTAGAGCGCGTGTTGGCCGCGGCCTTCTCCGTAAATTCCGCTTCACACCGGATCAAAAATGTTTAACATTCCGCTAAAACTATCTTTATAAGTGGCTTTGAATTTTGGTCAAAAGCGCAATACCGTTAGTTGCTAAGGTACACCTAAAGAATCAACTATATACAAAGTAAACTAATTACTATCTAATCTACCCTCCAAAGCAGTCTTAAACCTTACAACTACATATAGTTGAGTGGTGTTTATATAGCGACCGTTGCCAAAGACGCCAGTAAAGGTAGGCCTTTCGTTAATTCCACTAGATCCAGAATAAAGGAATGAGATAAGGCTGAACGTACGCAGGCACCGTTGGTTTCATGAAGCATTGGCACAGCTGACCACAAAACGTGATGCACAAAATTTTTTAATATGCTATCTAGTGTACCATATCTAAACTGCAACCATGTCTCGCATTTCAGTTCAATTCCCTGAGAAGGAATTTAACTCGATGAGGTGTAACGAACTATTTCCAATTACTCTTTAACAATCATGGTGTTGTCACAAAACTCGGTAAACTAATGTGAGTCACACTTCTCCAAGATTCAAAATACTACGGTGAAGCAGAAATCGTTGAGGTACATTGAGTTCCGATGCTGAAGCCGATGCTGTCCTCTTTAGTAGTTGTATTAAAATGGTCCACTTTTAGTCCAACTCCTCTAGGACAACACAGAGATTTGTTGAAGCGAATTACTTCGGATTCATCTACACACGAAGCTGCATTGAATATGGGTATACTCTGTGTACCTCGAGCAAAACGCTTACACCACGTGAGGTGCAGCATTGGATTATTTCTACCCTGGCTTTTCCTTGTTCCGGCAGCGTAAAACCTAGGTTTGAGTACACCATAAACATGGCTCAGCACATATCATTCTTAACCAGAGTATCGTGCTTCTTTTGCATAAATTCCGCAAAGCTTAGGATAATAAAAGTAAACTGCACAGAGGGAAGCTTCTTTAGTTCCCCTGCATAGCATAGATAAAACGCAATTGTAATGTACAGCGCCGCCACAAATTTTGCCTTATATATATATATATATATATATACATACGTATATGTTTAGCGGCACCCGGTTCCGAGTTTGTTTGTCAGAGTGGTCTCCATGAGACCGCCGCAGAACACCTGCTCCTACAGACGGACCATGAGTGGCTTGCATTGCACCACACAAAGCTCCAACCACACACCCCATATCCAGTGTAAACCCGAAGAAATAAGATCGGGTGGCATGTGCATTAGAGCCATGTTTCTTCAACGGATTTGGGCCACAGTTCATCATAAAGCAGCTCAGAAGCATCCATGCCTAATTAGGAAGCAATGCACACCAGAAGTAAAAATGGCGGTGGCCGGACCGTACTTCGCTCCGCACTAAGTGCACAGACACCCTCTTTGCGCCTAGCACGGCCACCATGAACGTGCAACCTGTTCTACCTCGCAACTCTTCAGTCTCTTGGAGTCAGTAATCGAGGTTTACAGTGTTACATAGGCAGGCTTCCTTTCAACAGTCGAATAAAGCGCAGCCACACCGGTGATATCAAACAATCAGCATAGAATTTGAAGGCAGATAACCACACAAGTTTGACGCTGAATAAAAAGTAGAGTTGCAGAAATGAACAAGTCAAATAAAGTGTAAGTTCTAGTGTAAGTATAAGTGTAGCCCAACTGCGGTGAAGATGATGTATGCCACATAAACCTAAGCATTAGGCACCAGATGAATAAGAACAAATATGTAGAAATTAAACACTAAAACTTGACGGTAAATATTCAACCGAATGCAGAACTGAGTAACTCAAAAGTAGGAATTCTGTTTTATTGTTAGGGTAGACTTGGAAAATGGTCAGTGAAAATCAGGGTCAATATAAGGTCATGTATTCTGTAAAATAACTTCAAAAAAAGGAACCAACAAAATGGAGAGAGGTAGTCCAGCCTAATCTGGTGAACAATGCCATAGAGCTTACATAGCGGTATAGCTCACGAACGAATACGAAGAACATACCGTTGATCACTGTAACGGCATGCCCCGGCACTAGAATAAGCTTATGAAGACAGAAAAGTGAGTACAGGAATGTAGTGAGCTAAACCTT